ATATATATATATATATATATACTTTTTTTTATTCAGATGCCAAATGGTGCTATATCAAAGTATCAAACACTAAGCTTGTTTACTAACAAGGAATTATGAATTATCTTCTAAAGAATAATTTATGTTTGCTAGATTAGATATGATAGAATTCTGTTAATTAAATATTATTTTAATTTTAACAGAGCACTAGGTTGATTCTTCAGGCTAAGGACTTCAGTCAAGTAAATTACAATTTAATCTGAAAAACAAATTCTGGGAAAATGCTTTCTTGCCGGTCGTAATAATTTTCTTTTTCGTTTGTTTTTGTTTGGAGATATAACTTACTCGTTCGTCTCATTGGCTATCATACAAAAGCTAGAGACTAGTATGGAATGATGAAATTTCATATATACAATCAAACTTGGTCATTGTGGAAGAAACAAAAGGTGTCGGCATCAGTTCATAATTTTCTTTTCTAATTTTCGAATCCGATATTTTATTAGCAATAGTTTGAACGAGGCATTATGTTTTATGCAATTTCTATAAGACATGCACTCATTAGTTAATCAACCAACAATCTAATTAATACTATCAATTGAAAAGGTAATTTTAATGAGAATAATTTCAACATGGTCATTTGAAAATTTTACTAGCAGTAATAGTTGTCAACACCTTGTTTTCAATTGTGTGGAAGAAATGAAACAATAATTTTTTTTTGGTAAAAAATGAAACAATAATTGATATGAAAAATCATTTTTTTTTAATTTCTGCTGTAAATTAATTTTCTTTGATCTTATATTTTTTGCATATGGATCTTTGAAAAATATTAATCGATGAAAAATGATAACAAAATGAAATGATTCTAAAAAAATATAAATATTTTCATAATGAGGTTTGACTATATTTTTAGTTATTTAAATTTAAAATAAATTTATTTTTGTTCTCTTAAATATAAAATTTATTTATGAAATTATGAAAATTGAAAATATTAATTTTAAATATGAGAACTAAAAATAAGTTTACTCTAAATTTGAAGAACTAGAACCAACGAACATTGCTAATTTTCAAACAAGGCATCATTGATCCATCCAACCAACTCTCCACATGTTCTAGTCAAGAAGATTGTTGTGCATGGAAAGGAGTTCAGTGTGACAACACCACAAGTAGAGTTACAAAAATTAATCTTCTTATCAATAGCTGGAAGGTGAAATCAACTTATCTATGTTGGAACTTGAATATCTAAATCATTTGGATTTGAGCTACAACAAGTTTAATATTAATTATATATTAGCATTCCACCTATGCAAAATGATGTAGTACATTATGTATGATTGTCATTTTTTATATATTTGTTTTATATATGAATGAATAACATGTAGAACAATATAATTATCCAACAAATACAAAATTGTTTTGTTCCGTGACCTTTTCGATCTCTTGTTTGTTTTATGATTTTTATATTCTATAATTTTGTTGTTCATTGTATATAGGGATGAGAATAGATCAAACTTTGAACAAGGACTTATGACTTAATCTCTTTAAAGTTTAGCTTAGTCTATTTAATAAAAAAGTTAGGTTTAGATTTTTAAAAATGAATTTATATAAAAAAGATCAGACTTAAAACTTATAAAAAAGTTTGTTAGACTTGATAGATTTGTCTATTTATTTATATAATATAATAAAAAATTATATATATATATATTATTAAAAATATAAATAAATAAATAAATTTATAAAATAAAAATAAATTAGTAAAATTTAAAATATCTTTTATATATGTTTTTTTCATTATAGCTTGTATATGATTGTACATCAACATACATGATTACGTATAAATTGTCTCTTCAACAAAACTTGATTCAATTTTTCTTTTATATTTATTTTCAAATTTAAATTTTAATAATATTAAAAAATTATATTTTAAAAAGAATTTTATTAATTTTTTAAAATTAATTTTATTGGCCTAATTAACATTAATAATTTAAATAGGTTAATAAGATATATCAGATATCACTGAAAATAATTAAATTAGCTTTGGAATTGCTTGATGCCATTGCTTACAAAAAAGGAAGAGAATGAAAATCCACTTAATATCAAGTGACCACCGGCAAATACTAGATGGCTTACCATTTTCAATTTGTCATCATAAATATAATTAAGAAAATCTTGTTAGAATCTTGGCCTAACCTCTCTCTCTGTACACTGCCACCTCATTCACTTCATGAAGAAACAAAGAAACAATACACCATCTTTACAGATAATAAACAAGAAAAAACAGTCTCTGGCTCAAAATCATTGCATACTCCAAGACTATCTGGAAATGGATTTCTAGCATTCATTCACACTTTCATGAACAGGAATATTTGGATGAAGACAAGATGATTACTACAATCCTGATCCATCCATGACAAAATTTTCAATCATACTGACTTATAATCATTGGTGGAGACCTCATTGAAGGGCACATTAACTGCTTCTCCACTATGCTATCAAACACTCTCTCAAAACCAGAAGCAGTTCTTGCATACTTTCCTTCAACATGCTGAGCCCGTCTTTGGAATATCAAAATAGAGGTCTCAGCCGCAGAGTTCAAATCCGTCAAAGCATCCCCAAGAGGCCCCAAAGCAGGCTCCTCCAACACAGGATCCACCGTTTGTGCCAACGACATCTTCCTCCCATGCCCTCTCCCCACCACATACAAATCAAACCCTTTGTTCCCTATCTTGTTCAAAAGCCTCACCGTCTCTTTCTCATCCCTCACCACCTTCTCCAAATACCTCACTCTCACCATGTCCCCCGTTTGCTGCACAAACCCCTTAATGAACTCCTTGTCCTTCTCATCAAACTCATCGTTAGGATTATCCCAAACAAGCCTCACCACTGTTAGCTTCACCTCAGGGCTCTTACACATCCTCCATGCATAACAAAGCGCTTCGCGATCATCGGCACCGGCAATGTAGAACATGGCCACACGCTGCTCCTTGGAACGCTTCCTACTGAAGCCTCTGTCCACAAATATTGCCACACTACACGGTGCATCCCTTACTAAACTCTCCAACACCACTTTCTTCTCGTCTTTGCTTGCATGGTCGCGGTTGATGATGTTCACAGCTCTTGCGGTTGCAGCACCGGCTCCTAAACCATCGTAGGTTGGTTGCTTGTAGAGTGTGGTTAGGATGAGTGTGACTCCTCTACGTCTTGCGAGGTTTAGGATGTCCTTGTGCATGGTGCCGTAGTCTGAGATGATCCTCATTTTCTCCGCGAAGATGGCTTGGCTGAGGTTGTCGAAGATGCTGAGGGTGTCTTCGGTCTCGTCGAGTTTTAAGGATTTTGAGGCGAAGGATGACTTTTTAGCGCCCCTTATGATGAGTGATGAGGTGGGGCGGTTGGTCATTTTGCTTAGTTCAACAGCTAGCACTTGGATTGGGGTTCTCACTGAGGGAGACGAGGCTTTCAAGAGGTTTATGATCACGTTGGCGTCGCTTTTTGTGTGGATGCATGCTAGTACTCTCAGGGGTGAGTCTGGTTGTGTGCCTTTGCGTTGGATTCCTGCAAACGTTTTGTTTTTCAAGGCTTTTGTTAGAGCAACCGAGACAGGTCCCACGGGAAGTGTCATTAACCAGCACGCTAATACCATCACACCAAAGGTTTGATTGTCCAATTCCTGCATCACATATATCTACATACACTTAGATATTATCATACCAATGTTGTTTACAACTTTGTTGAAAAGTGCTATACACAAAAAGTATTGTCTCAAATGAGAATTGGAGTTTCATTTATATTTTATAAGTACCTCTCGCAGTAATACACATCTAAGCATATTTCTAAAGTGAAACTCTAACTCTCATAGTAGAGATAGGAAATAACCAAGAACAAGTGATTTTATGTTAATATCAGAAGCAATTCTTGCATTGGTATAAGCTTAATAGGCACTATACTCCTATTTAGGATTTTAATTAGCAGTCCACAATTACCATTGTGACTGTAATATTAGGTTTTGGACTTCTCCAAAATTGTTTTGTTACCTTAATTGTTGCTGCATATGCCGTATTTGTCTATAATTTTCACAATATTCAGGTTTAGAAATTCCCTAACATGGCAATCACATTTTAGAACCTTGATAATATTAAATTTGACTGATCAAACCTTAGATTGGGGGAAGAATGACTATATCAATGCATCATAAATATAGCATGTTACCATGTTAAGTTTGTAAAGTAACTTACGAGCCTGTCCCTGCCGGTGCAGAGAATGATCAATGGCATTGTTCCTTTAGTATTCATGAGCAGTGCAAGGGACAATCCTTCCATGCGTGGCATCTGGTAGAAGCAAGTCACAACCAAAGTGCTCGCTATCTTAGCCACAAAGGCCAGCACAACAACAACCACCAAAGTACTCACATGTGTGTCCAAGGCCAAGTCTTTAACATTGATCCTCTCCCCAACAGCCACAAAGAACAAAGGCATCATGAAAACACCCACAAAATCCTGCACCCTGTCCTGCATCGCATTGTTAAGCACCCCCTGAGGGATCACAACGCCCAAAAAGAAAGCCCCCGTGACCGATAACACACCCAACCCATCAGTTAAAAAACCAAAGACCAAAACTAAGTGCAACACAAATATCACTTGTGTCTCAAAAAACTCGCGATCCCTCATGCCCTCGTTGTCGAATAGCCACTTGAAGAACCGGTGAAGTACAAATAAACATACCAACACAAGAACCACGGTGATGACAAAAAATCTCACGGAACCATAGTAGAAGTGCGTTAGAGCCAACACGAGAAGTGTCCATGAAAACAAGTCGTTGATGAGAGAGGCTGAGAGAGCAAGTTGTCCATTCTCCGTGAGGAGAAATTTAAGGTCCGAAAGGATCTTTGCAATCTCAGGAAACTCACTGCTGCTTGAAAGGGTGATTCCCCATAATATTGCACCATTTGGTCTGAAGTGTTTATGAGAGAGAGTTTTTCGCCACATGTCGGTGATAAGCATGTAGTACAAACCAAACCCTATTGGTAAGGTGAAGATTGTGCCAGCAATGGCAACAAACGTGGCCTTCTTGTTGTGCAACTCCGCTATTGGTTTCAAGTCTATCTCTAGCCCCACCAAGAACACGTAGTAAATGAGAATCAACCCTCCCACCGTCTCTAATGGCACCATGTTATTCAATGGAGATGTGTGCTTGATGAAAGCAGTCCAATGCCCTAGAGCAGATGGCCCTAATAAAAAACCAGTCTAGGAACATAATCACAAAAGTTCATGTTCATTAGTAATCAATGATCAAATTCAAAGCAAACCAACGTGCATGATCATGCATGAATAATTGGAATACGTACGTAACATTGTATTTTTAACTTATTGACATTACATGATCTTGGACCATATAATAAGAATTCAATTCATGAAGCAAGGATATATTAATACGATCATGATGGTGAAAAGTACTTACAAAAATATTAGCAACAATTCGAGGTACATGGCAGAATGATGAAAGGAGGAGCAAAATGCGATTGAGAGATAGGATAATTGCAAATTGCAGGGCAAATGAAGGGAGTGTTGCCTCGATGGAATTTTCTCTCCAAAGGGCAGAATCAGAACCATGGGATGCAGGCCTTTTGAAACAGATATGTAGCGAGCGGTTCGTGATTGTGAAAATGGGATCAAAGGTTTCAACGTCGGAGGAATTCATCTGAACTGGTTCACTCCGATGAAATAATTATTTTTCTTATTTCTTGCAATCTTATTTACAGATTGCTGTGAACACTATTAAGAGAATCATAAAGGGAGAAGAAAGGGGTTTTGACCAAAGTGTCAATAAGAAGATACACATAATTCCAGCTAGATATGGTAGTACTATGATTAAGACTAAACGGTTGCTTGCTTAATTATAGTCGTTCTATTTGGGTGCTCCGCAATGCTTATATTTTGTATTCTATTTAAGGAGTACATGTCCTATCCCTGTGTATTTCACGTGTATATGGTTTAGATTTTCACAACACAATTTTGTTAACTGAATTTTTTAAAAAAAATTATTTTTAAAATAAAACCAAATATATTATTCGTCCAATTCCCAAAACTTCTCGGAACGATACAAGGATGGTCAAAATCAATAGTTATAGGACTACATATCTAAAAAAAAAAAAAAGTCATGCGAGTTTTCCTTTTAAATTTAATCATTTAAATATGATCTAATGGCCTATATTTGTTTTGGCCTCAAGTTCATTACAATATTAGACTCACTTCATTTAAGATATTTTCATTTTTAATGCAACTATAAAATATTAATATGAAATACCTATCATTAAAAATAATAATTAATCTTTATTGAAAATTATGAGTGTACATAGGATAAATATTTCTTTCCCAACATAATCATATTTTATATTTAAAGTCATAATTAATTGAAATATTATCTGTTTTAATATTCGTTTAGGTCTTCATGACTTTGTTCTTGAAATAAATTTTAATAAGTTTTTCTTAACTTTGATTCTTAAAGAATGTGAGACAATTGTGTATGTGAAAATTTAATCAATCCAATAGTTAAATTAGATGATATTACACTTATAATTATTATATCTAATTTTACATGATATAAACATTTTTAAATATCTTATCTAATAATGAATGTTTACATATAATTTTAATATCATATTATATGTTAAAATAAAGTGACGTAGTTAAATCCAAATTATGTGAACTTTGATATACATGATTATGAGTATATAGTATCACTTAATTTAATTATTGAATTGATTAAATTTGTTGTCCCAATAATGTAGAGATGAAAGTTAAGGGCACAATATTTGATATTGATTCATCTCTACTAGTGAGAGTATGTCTAGTTTTTAGTTAACACAATCATGTTACTAACTTTATGTAAGTACAATTGGTGTTTTTCATTATAAACTACTTATGACTCAACCTAAGTAGTATTAGATTTATACCTTCTACCAACTACTTAAGTATATTATTTGAACAAAAAGTCCCTTCAAACTTTAATTATCCAAGTATTCTTTAACAACAAAAATATTTCCAAATTTTAATTACCTAAGTATTCTTTGACAACAAAGATTCTTCAAGCTTTAAATATCTAAATATATATTAAATAACAAAAACTCTCTAGGCTTCAAACTAATTCACACAAAATAAGCTATATCAATAAGTAACAAATTGTGTAACATTTGAAAAAGACAAATGTACAATGAAGCACACAAGTAAACTTTACAAGAGAACTTTTTAACAATATAAGAACACAAGTATAAGAAAATATACGCAAGTTCTTCTAACATTTGAATTAAAACTTCTACTCTTTGTATTCATAGGTAGCCTTAGAAGATGTTTGCTTAAAACACTATGCTATTCTTCAACTTACGGTATCATTTATCTTCCTAATGATGTAGAGGGTATCCGTTGGAGCAATTAATATTAGTATTTAATATTTCATTAAATTATCATTTCTTATTTAATAAAGGAGGTTATTCATCAACTTTTTCTTGACAGTGTATATATACATTTAAGACCTTTTGTTGTGTTAGTTTGATAATGCTTTTTCTGAGCACATGTTTTTCAAGGAGTATGTTTGGTCTCTTTTGTTTGAAAATCCATCGCATGTATAAATACTAATCCCAAGATGTTTTTAGGATGATTCTTCTATTATTTACACAATAAAAGCAGATGATAGAATACATAGGAGCATTTATTAATTCATGATATGATGTTTCGTGTATCATAAGATGATGCACTTTGTTTTTTTTAACATGATTGGCACTGCTTCAGATTGAAAACTAGTGCAGGTGACAGAACAAGGCATGTCATAGACATGACTCAATGGTCATGATCGTCATCCTTGCAACTTGAAGTCAAAAATTGAGATCAATAGTAAAATAGAACCTGTTATGGGTGTGAAGAATTGGTCACAATCATGACAACCTCGAGAGCTATACGTTAGCTTATATATGTGATTAGAATTAACTTTTATAGTCTTCATAAGAGTTGTAACCCTATGTGTTAACTTTTGAATGACATTGGTATCACTCAGAAAGGAAGTCTAAAACTCAAGATATGATCAAATTAATAAGTAAAGGTCGAGATGTTAGATTTAGACTTAAATGCTACAATTTTGTAATTTTTAAGTATACTAGATTATTAAAGCATGCTTTGATAGCATATGTATAATTCTAGGTATTATGTTTATTAGACCACATGAGGTCATAAAAGCTTAAGACGAGAAAGACAATTTGTAAGTTGTAATGGTGATTTATTTTATCCTTTAAGTGATTAATCTTGGGAATGGTACGAGATTCTTATATTAATAGTTAAGAAAGATAAAGTGTGAGAGAGTTTATGGATGAGTTATGAGTAAGTTACGATGAGTGTGAGAAATTATGTTTATGAGGTCTCATGTATGCCTTGAGTTATACGTATAATGTAAGTTTAAGTGGTGCCTTAGCAGTGTAAAATCGAAGATTTTGCTTGGTCATTTGTAAAGTTTAAATAGTGGTCTAGTCAAGTGAAAGTCTAGGCTTGTCAAGTAATGTGATAAATGTGATATGTGTGACATGTGTTATATGTATTGATGTGTTGTGATGGAATCCATGCATTCTTACATAGTTTGTTTTGAGGTAAATGTGAGTCTATGTAGGAACTATGCACAACTCCATTACCTTGACTAGCTCTTGATAAATTTCATTCTAGTGAGAGTGGACCGTGTTTTGATTACCCATAGTGTGAGAATCAATTTCTTGTCCATGTGCTCCCAGACTACTTAATATGAGTGTGCTTTATGCGAAGTGAAATTGTACCACATACATATAGAGATAAAAGCATACAAATCTACAAGTACATCTTATGTTTTACATTATGAATGATAACTGCATTTAATATGTGATATGCATTGAGTTCTTTAAATACATGCTATCTGGCATCATCATGTCAATTAGAAAGTTGAAGAGATTCATATCACACAAGAAGGGAAAAAGGAGTTAAAGAGAAGTTAGGCATAGGTGAGGGAGTGAAAAGGAAGATGGAGAAGGAAAATATAACACCCCAAGTTTTTCTATTATTAATAATAATGTTTATTTATCAATTATAGTTTTCATTTATTAATTAGGCTAATTTTATAAGTGTGTTTTAGTGGTATGAAATACATGATTTTATTTATATATGTTTTATTTTAATATGTTTTGACGGGAGGAATTGAACTTTGGTTAAATGCTTTATTGTGGGGTTAAATGGGAGGTAAGAGTTAAGGGTTGAGTAAGAGGGAGTTATATTAGTTCATTTTCACGCTTCTCATTATTTTCCTTTTTACACTTCGTACTCTGGATAATTGAGAGAAGACGAGAGGTTGTTGGAAATCATCCCAAAAACTCACATCTTTCATCTAGCATTCATTGAGGTAAGGGGAAGTGAGTAAACTTACTCTGGGCGTGAGGTATATGATGGGTAGAGATTGGCTCCCAATCTCTTCTCTGTTGTATGTGTTGTATGAGGGAGAAACTCCAATTTCTATCTTAGTTTTGTTTTTATTTTCTATATGATTCTTTAATACTCTAATTGGTATTATTAACATGTTTGTATGCTTAATTTCATGTATCAAACTAATCTTGTGGATCTTGGATTATCCATAAGTTCCTATGAGAACCTTAGGGGATGAATGGGGTTTATGAGTAGTAATTAGAATGTTGGGTTTCAATGTTAAGTGTTGGTTTGTAATTGCATTTTAGTCTTAAGAGTGTTCTTACCAATTGAAATCATGGAATTAAATTATGCATGTTTTGGTGTGTTCTCTTGCTTTCTATAGATTGGGATAATTTTGATACAATGTTGGGCACCTTGGACTCGCTGAGCATCTTTGTGGTCGAGAGCACAATGTGGCTTTTATGCCACTCGCGTCGGGCGTGGGTTAAGCCACATCGAATATGAGGGCTTTAGGGGGATCCATGTGATGTCTTCACTAGGTGTGATCTCAGTCACGTCAGGTAGAAGTTGTCCCAAGAGCAACAAGTGCTCTATGAAATTATTACGTTAGGCACAAAGAAATTGTCATTAGGTGTCCTTTTGTATTTCAAGAGTTGTTCTTGTAGTTGTTGTATGATTGGTATGTATAATTATTGTATTCAGTTGATATGATGTTGATGATTGCAAGTGGAATGTGAGGATATTAATGATATAAACATGAGCCATGGATGAATTGAATGATGTTGAACCGGTATCAGCACATTGATGTGTATGGATCCTATAAGGGTCATGCCACAGGAACTCTAAGTCGAGGCTTAGAAGTGATGTGAACATGTGATGATTATGAATGTGCATTGTGATAACATATGATATGACATTTAGTTTTGTTTGACATGCATCATATGCATAAATGTTTTAATGAGTACGACATGGAATACATTGTTAGGGAAGACTCCCTTGTTGCTTAATATTTGAAACTTGATATTGGACTTAATTGATGTTATTTATTTTCTTTAGTCACTCATGTTAGTATAGTGTTTTATTATAGTGTAATGTGATACCTCTCTTACATATTTGACTTTTATTCAATTGATTTTCTATTCATAAATTCATTAATTTTGGTATATTCCATTATTATGTTCATTATTATATGTAAGGTAGAAAGTGTCACAAAAAAAGTCATTAAAAAATCACTTGAGATAAAAAATAAAAAAAATTAAGAATGAATTACTATTTTAATATTAAAATAATGAATTTGCTTAAAAATTCTTAAATATTAAACAATTTTAAACAAAAATTGTGAAATATTAAAGTAAACATAATAGTGAGAGTTGAAAATAGTATGGATATAGTTTTAAATTTAAGCTTTGTTGTCATCATTATAATATATATATATATAT